GTTTTACCCGATAGTATAGAAACTACTTGGAATAAAAATAAAATTCTTGGCCATATGTTCATTTGAATAGTGGCTATGCATCCCGTGAGCGACAATTGCAAATTCTTCCATCTTTCTAAAGCTTTTTTTATTTGCTGTAATAGTTTGTTGTGGTTGTCCTCTTTAATTGAAGAGCATTTCGCCGATAACCAAATTCCTAGGTATTTAACTTTCTTGACTATTTGCATTTTAGTCATTTCCTCCAATTCTTCCTCTTGTTTTTTTGTAATATTTTTGGTTATTATTTTTGTTTTATTTTTATTAATTTTTAAGCCTGCCACTTCGCCAAATTCTTCTATCTTCCGAATTAGTCTGGTTCCCGATGCTAGTGGCTCTTCCAATATGAATGCTAAGTCATCGGCAAAAGCTTGGGTTTTGTACTCTTCCTTTCTGATTTTTAGTCCTTTTATCTCCTGATCTTTTCATACTTTATTTAAAAGTATTTCGAAGGTTAAGATAAAAAGGAGTGGAGAAAGAGGGCATCCTTGTCTTACTCCTTTTGCTATCTCAATTTTTTTCTGTGAGATCTCCATTCATAATCACTTTTGCTGTTTGCATTTTGTATATTTTTTTCAATCATTTTTACAATTTTTTTGCCGAATTTCATAGCGTCTAATTGTAATATAATGAATTTCCAATTTATATTGTCAAATGCCTTCTGGGCATCAAGGAAAACCAGTGCAACTTCTCTCTCTGGGTGTATTTCATAATATTTTAATATGTTTATTATGGTTCTCGTGTCATTCTTAATCTGTATGTTTGGGAGGAAACTGTTTTGATCTGAATGGAGGTGGATTTAAAGTCTTTTTTACTCTTTCTGACATAATTGAGGCGAATATTTTATAATCTGTGTTCAATAGGGGAATGGGTCTGTAATTTTGGATTTTCTGCTGGTCTGAGTCCTCTTTTGGTATGAGGGTTATCAGGGAAGTGCAGTCACTAGAGGCAGGGGAGGCATGGCCTCACCAGTCATGAGGAAAAGGAATTTTAAAGAATTTTTTAAAAATAATTAAAGCCAAGGTAGTTGCTACCAGATNATATTATTTTATATTTACATCCACAGGCATCAACGACTCTGAAAGAGCCACGAAATTCCCAGAGGATCTCGAACTCAAAGGAGACTGGGGAACTTTCTCTTTAACAATGTCTCACGATAGAAGCCCAAGGATTCATCCTGGGAATTTAGTAAATGAATACCAGAGGGCAATCCAGACCTGGGTAAAATCCTTCCCTTCAGCAGTTAAGAAATCCATTGGGCTCAGACACTGGATATTTTGGCCCCCATAGAATAGAGAGTTGGAAGGGACCTTGGAGGTCTTCTAGTCCAACCCCCTGCTCAGGTAGGAAACCCTATACTACTTCAGACAAATGGTTATCCAACATCTTTAGAATTTCCGGTGTTGGAGCATTCCCAACTTCTGGAGGCAAGTTGTTTCACTGATTAATTCTTCTAACTGTCAGAAAACTTCTCCCTATTCATGTTTCCCAAAAAATAAGACAGGGTCTTATTTTCTTTTGCCCCATGAAATATGGCCTTGGACTTATAGTAGGTGTAGTGCTTATTATTTTCTGGGGCAGGTGAGAAGCGAGGCGCGCCTCTTACCTTCCCAGGTCCAATTGCATTCCTTGCCCTTTCGTCCAGTGAATCCCCTTTAAAAAAAAAAACCTCATGAGTTCAATTCACAAGGTTTTTTTATAAGGTGCTTCACTGGATGAAAGGGCGAGGAATGCAACGGACTTGGAAAGGTAAGAGGCATGCCTCATGGCCCAACACCGCCCATCCCAGCCCAATGGTAAAGGCAGCCTGCCTGGTTCCCTTCCCCGTCGTCCCTTTAGTGAGGGGTGGCGGGGGGGGGAGAAGCGATGTGCGCCTCTTATCTTTCCAGGTCCATTGCAGTCCTCACTCTCTTGTCCAGTGAATCCCCCTTGTAAAAAAAAAGTCTCATGAGTTCAACTCGCAAGGGTTTTTTTTACAATGTGCTTCACTGGATGAAAGGGTGAGGAACGCAGTGGAGCTGTTAGTCTCTGGTAGCACTAGGACGCACATCTCGCTTCTCCCCCCCGCCACCTGCCATCCCTCGCTAAAGGGACGGTGGGGAAGAGAACCAGGCAGGGTGCCTTTACCATTGGGGAAAAGATGGGCAGTGTTAGGCTGCAAGGTGCACCTTTTACCTTTCCAGGTCCGTTGCATTCCTCGCCCTTTCGTCCAGTGAAACACCTTGTAAAAAAAACCTTGTGAGTTGAACCCATGCGGTTTTTTTTTTTACAAGGGGATTCACTGGGCAAAAGGCCGAGGAATGCAATGGACCTGGAAAGGTAAGAGCCACGCCTCGCTTCTTCCCCCCCCCCACCTGCCACCCCTCGCTAAGGGGGTAGCAGGGAAGGGAACCCAGCAGGCTGCTTTTACCATTGGGGTGGGGTGGGCAATGTTCTTTTTGCCTGAGAACGAACAAGCAGGAGGCGTGATCGCATTGTTGGCCTGCCGCTCTTTCTGCAGCGGGCTTTTTTTGCACAAGAGAGAAGGATGGGGGTGGAAGCACTTTGCTTCGCCTGCTGCTGTTCTTGCGACAGGCCCTCTTTTCCCCCCTCAAGCTGTACTGGTAGGTGGTACATTGGGCTTATTTTGGGGGAGGGCTTATTATTGTGCATGCTCTGAAAAGCCCGATTGGGCTTATTAGCAGAAAATGTCTTATTTTCGGGGAAACACGGTAGTTCTAAGTAGCTTCTCTCCTTGATCAGTTTCCATCCATTGCTTCTTGTCCTGCCTTCAGGTGCTTTGGAGAATAGTTTGTCTCCCTCTTCTTTGTGGAACCCCTGAGATATTGGAACAATATCCAATTTCAGTGGTTCTCTGCTTGCCATGGTTGCTTATATGAATTGGAATGTCAGTTCAGTGTAGTGATTAATTCATCAGTCTAAACATGGAGAGACTATGAGTTCTTGTTCCACTTTAGGATGACATAAGCTAGGTCACTTTTGACCAGTTGCTCTCTCTCAGCCATAAGAAGTAGACACATGGAACTTGTTTCAGAAAATTTACCAAAAATGTGCAGGGATTTCTCCAGATAATCACCAAGAATCAACACTGTTTCAAATTTATTCCCAAAACGAGTACAAAAGGTAATTCAGCAGCATAATTGATATTGTTCCTGTCCAGTATTTCCTGCCATAGGTATGAATAATAGAGTAGAAGATATTTGAACAGAGCACATTCAATGTCTCATTTTCTTCCCTGAACTACAGATATGCCTATTAATTTAGTTCCATTCATATTTCTCCCCTACTGACTGATACACCATTTGAATCTCAAACACAGTGTTTCATCCTTCATAATTCACATTGTTGGTTTTAACACTAGTGTGCTACCAAAATTGTCAATGAGGAACAGGCATTGATCCTGAGCTTCTAACCATCAGTCTTGGCTTTTGTAATCTTGGGAATAGCAACAGCGCTTAGACTTATATACTCCTTCACATTGCTTTACAGCCCTCTCTAAGCAGTTTACAGAGTCAGCATATTGTCTCCAACAATTTGGGTCCTCCTTTTACCCACCTTGGAAGGATGGAAGCAGGGACATGTAGTCACTAGAGGCAGGGGAGGCGTGGCCTCACCAGTCATGAGGAAAAGGAAAGAATTTTAAAGAATTTTTTTTAAATAATTAAAGCCAAAGTTGTTGCTACCAGATTCACAGTGACTTGGAACAGTGCTTGGTATTAACTATAGGAGGAGGCCAGAGAAATAGGGGCCTCCTGTGCACAAGCAATTTTTCGCCTTTTAAGAGTTAAGCAAGGATTAACAAGCAAAAAATTTTGTATGCAAAGGAGGCACATGTTCTCTCGCCTCCTGTAGAGGGCATTTTTAGAGGCTTTTTAGAGTTCTCTGGGAGCAACTAGCTCAGTCTGACTCAGAGCTCTGGCAGAACCACGTTGCCTTTTCAAACACACACACACACAGCTGGATAAAAGTACATAAGCCCAGCTTCACTGATTACAACGTGATTCACCTGCAATCAAAGGTTCCGATCGGAAGGCAGCAGGGGAAGGGGGGGTATGGTAGAGGAGCTGCTTTCAAGCCTTTGGAAAATATATCCAATCCAACTTCTGTGTTTGGGTTTGTTTGAGAGTGAGTGTGTGAGTGAGAGAGGGATCCAATTTCTCTGTGTGCGTGTGTCTGTTTGAGGGGGGAGGGAGGGAGAGAGGGAGGAAGGAGGGGGAGGGAGAAGAAAAAAATTGGAAAACTTATTTTGCAAGGGGGGGAAATGCTGTCGCTTTAAATCGGAACTGAGCATGCCTGGCTGTGGAATTCTGGGAGTTGAAGTCCACAAGTCTAAAAAGTGCCTCACCAGCCATAAAGCTCACCGCACATCACTGATTTCAAATTATGCAATCATCTCATCTACAAAATACTTTTCCAGAATAACTATCAGCTCAGGCATAAAACTTTGCAAAGGCAAGAAATGATGGTAAACTTGGAGAAGACAAGATAGCACAAGTTCAAAAGAGTTCTGGGAAAGAAAAAATATTGTAATTCACTACACACAGAAATTGCATTTATGGAATAATGCCTTCTTGTTTTGTTTTGTTTTTCAAAAAAAACACCACAATTTATCTTGGCAGTCTTCCCCACTGCTTCATAATCACACCCAGATTGCTATTGAAATCTTAAAGGCATCTTTTATCTCCTTGCTTTTTCCTCCCTTTTCTTTATACTTTTAAGAACAGCCCAGCAGCTTTCTTTTTAAATAAATTGGGCTATATTAACCTTTATTTGAATTCTATCACAATAATAAACTTAGGTTATCTTTCAGGGCTCCCTCTTTGTTTTAAAACAATCTGCCTGAATCCTTCTTTTGTAAAGGGTGAAATTTGTCACTGGTATTCCCAGGAGTACATTCTACTCTAGAAATATGTGCATGACAACTACATTGTGTTGAAAACATCAAACCTATGAATCTACTTCTATTACCCCATAAAGAGGATCTGTTTCCTTGCTACAGTTTTCTTGAAACCCACTTTCATCTCTTTATTCCTCAAGCTGTATATGATGGGATTTAAACTTGGGGTCACCACTGTGTAGAACAGGGCAAGGAATCGGCTACTGTCCATGGAATATTCTGAGTGGGGACTAATGTAGGTAACCATGCCGGTTCCATAGAAAATGCAGACTACGGTGAGATGTGAGGAACAAGTGGAAAATGCTTTGTGTCTGTTCTTGGCCAGTGGCATTGTGAAAATAGTGGAAATGATGAGGATGTAGGAAAAAAGGATGAGCAAAAGGGGTACAAGAATAACTAGAACTGTTATTATGACAATGGCCACTTCATTTTTGTAAATATTGGTGGAAGCCAGTCTCAGAACAGGCATAAGGTCACAGAAGAAGTGGCTGATTCTGTTTGGCCCACAGAAGGGAAGGGTGAAGATTGAAATAGATTGCCCCAGACCCACCGACATCCCAATGGTCCATGAGGCAGCAGCAAGCTTAGCACATTCCCTGAGGTTCATGATAGATGGGTATTGCAAGGGTTGGCAAATGGCAACATAGCGGTCATATGCCATGACACAAAGAAGACAACACTCGGTGACACCAAAGAGAGTGAAGAAACACATTTGACATCCACAGCCCCAAAAGGATATAGTTTGTCTTTCTGATAATAAGTTCACTAGCATCTTTGGGCTGATGGAGGAAGTGTAGCCGATTTCCACAAAGGACAAGTTGCAGAGGAAGAAGTACATTGGGGTGTGAAGGGTAGGACTGGAAATGGTGAGAAGAAAAACCAGGCTGTTGCCCATCAAGGCTATGAGGTAGAATATTAGAATGAGGGAAAACAGAAGTTTCTGCCAAGTCTGGAAATCTGAGAAGCCCAACAGGACAATTTCGATGATACAGGAGTTATTGTCTGTTTTCATGGAATCATTCATGTTAAAACCTGGGTACAAAAGAGAACTGTTAAATAAACAATTAAAGAATTATTCTTAACAATTCAAAAGGCTTCTCACCCTAAAGACCTGTATCTTATCAGAAATAGTAAATTAAATAAAAACTTTAGACCTAAGGAAGACTGCAATTAAATTTTTGTTTTTAAATGTATTTCTTACGCCCTTTGCATTTGATTATGTCATGTTAATCAACCATTCAAGGAACCTTTCTGACAAGTGATTTATGAATATTATTCAGAATTGAATCTGCATTGAGATTATGACTGGCAATTGTAAAATCCTCAAGTACCTAGATTACAATTTGAAGAAAACGGATTTAGGATAAAGCCAAATTACTTTTTCATTAAACACAGTTAGCGTTAATTGCTTATCATAAATTGTAATCTATTCATGTTATATAAAGAATGCCATTTTCCATCTAGACAGGTACATAAAAATGTGCAGAAATTTCAGGCATCATTTCTCTCTGGTTCACAAGAATGAAATGCTAATGCATTTTTTAATTTTTAAAAAAATAAAATATAACCCTCATAGCATTCTACTTAGCATCACTTAAAAACTAAAGTCTCTGTCTTCAATATACATAGTATCAGGAGTCAAACCACCAAACTGACCTTTATTAAATTATGAGATATTGATCTTACTTGGTGAATGGTTTTCTGATTATTTCAAATAGATGGCGTATTTCTTCTTAGAGAATTGACAATGCAGCAATGTTTAGTAGAGACTTGATACTTTGAAGATACTTCTGCCATCTGTCCTTTGGAAAAAAAATATTATTTTATATTTACATCCACAGGCATCAACGACTCTGAAAGAGCCACGAAATTCCCAGAGGATCNTGTTGGGGGCAATATGCTGACTCTCTGTAAACCGCTTAGAGAGGCCTGAGAGGCCTATGAAGCGGTATATAAGTCTACTGCTATTGCTATTGCTACTTACACACCACCAGAGCAATCAAGTTACATTTCCTGTCAGGGTTCTCTCCTTAATTTGAATAAATCTGTTTCCAGCTTCAGGTTATTCCAGAGCTTTATTCTACCTATACATACACATGACAAAATTCTAATCTAATGAAATGACAAAACCAACAGAAACAATTTGATGATTACCTCAAAAAGACTGCTTCTTGCTTACTAATTTCATGAAGGCAGCTTTTATCTCTTTGTTCCTCAGGCTGTAAATGATGGGGTTCAAGCTTGGGGTCACTACTGTGTAGAGCAGGGCAAGAAATCTGTTGGTGTCCACAGAATATTCCGAATTTGGACGAATGTAAGTAAAAATGACAGTTCCGTAGAAAATGAAGACAACAGTGATGTGTGAGGAACAAGTGGAAAATGCTTTGCGCCTGTTCTTGGCCACTGGCATTCTCAGAATAGTGAAGATAATGAGGATGTAAGAAACAAGGATGAGCAAAAAGGGTGTCAAGTCAACTACCACTGTTAAAACAGCAATGGCCACCTCATTTTTGTAAGTATTGGTGGATGCCAGTCTCAGAACAGGCATAAGATCACAGAAGAAATGACTGATTCTATTTGATCCACAGAAGGGAAGGGTAAAGATTGAAATTGAATGCCCCAAACCTAAAGAAATACCAATGGTCCACGAGGTAGCAGCAAGCGTAGCACACTCCCTGAAGTTCATGATGTATGGGTATTGCAAGGGTTTGCAAATGGCAACATAGCGGTCATATGCCATGGCACAAAGAAGACAACACTCAGTGACACCGAAGAGAAGGAAAAAACACATTTGACATCCACAGCCCCAAAAGGATATCGTTTGTTTCTCTGATAATAAGTTCACTAGCATCTTTGGGCTGATGGAGGAGGTGTAGCCAATTTCCAAAAAGGACAGGTTCCAGAGGAAGAAGTACATTGGGGTGTGAAGGGTAGGACTAAGACAGATGAGGAACAAGATCAGACCATTGCCTACCAAAGCCATAACATAGAATATTAGTGCCAAGCAGAAGATAAGTTCTCGCATAGACTGGAAATCTGAGAAACCGAGAAGGACAATCTCGGTGAGACAAGACTGATTGACATTTTTCATTGTTTCATCCAGGCCAAAGGCTACAAACAAGAACATTAAGCAATGAATTCAACAATTATTCTTTAGAATTACTAACAATATAATGGGTTTGTCACATTAGAGACCTATATATTGCTTTCTTTAGTTTCCTTCCTTTAGTTTTTTTCTTCAGAAATAGAAACTCAGATGATGTTCTATATAAAAGGAAAATTACAATTTTAATTTAGCACAGTGTCCATTTTGGATGCGATCATTTTGTTCTTATGAATCATGTAAACCATTCTAGGATCTAGGACCGACCTAGAATGGATCATTCTAGGATCCTTTGTCAGAAGTAGTTTGTCAAAATTGTCAATCTTAAGACTTTAAAATTGATTTTCTTTGAGTTAATAGTGCATATTTAATTGAAGGTGCCACTCATTTACATTTCCTTTTGTTTGTTGGTTTGTTACACTCCAAATTTTACATTGTTTATGGAGATTCTTACTGGAGATTCTGAATCCTGGAATAGATGGAGTATTGGAGAAAACTGATTTAGATTTTTTAAAACAGCTCAATATTCCATTAAATGCAATACGTACTCATTGTCTGTCATCAGAGATCAGCCATTCTTGCTAGATAAAGACCTCTTTTTCTATTTAAACAGAGCATCAAAATGTGTTGAAATATCAGTCAGCATCTTTCCCATGTTCAAAAGAACAATGCACAGTCGTTGAAAATAAAACTCTTGTAATATTTACCTTATTTGAAAGCAAAATTTCTTCTCTTGAGCATGTAAGGAATCAAACCACCATATATAATATTTGATAAAATATGAGGTATTAATCTTGTGGCAAAACCTTGGCAAGAAAACAGCACAGGCTTGTCCAGGCAGACTCTGAGAATCAGACAGGATTGAACAGAAGAGAGATATTTATTCAAATTTCTGGAAGATTTGAAATCCCAGGGAAATTGGAGGACTTTTTATCTAACAAGGTCTCAGAACAGAAGTACTACCTGGGGATTTGGTTGATGAATTACCAGAGGAAAACCTGGATCTTGGGGAACATCTTGCTTACAGCAAAGTAAGGAAATCTGGTGGCCTCAAATACTGGATATTTTGGCTTACAATTACTTTGTCTACCTGATCATTTGCCATGTGGCTGGTCTTACACAAATTGTAACCCCAGATATAAAGCCCACCAGTGGCATAATTTATAATGTCCTGCCATGGGGATCAATAACCACATGGAAAATCTTAGGATGGAGCATTTCAATATGTCTCAAGAGACAACTTATGATATTATGAAGTCATCTAAATTTTAAGGACTGTTCATCTAACCAATATTTCAGGTGCTTATATTATAAATCAATTAATTATAAATTAATACTAAATATCCATAAGAACAGTCCCCATAGTTAATCAGTTAAATCCTAAACATAAAAAACATCCCTTAGGGACAAAAGGAGACACCAATGGACAGTAGTCTTCACTTCCTTGATGTTATTTGCCCTGAGCCATTTTGGAAAAGACACATTTTAGAATCCCCAAAGGGGATTTTCAAATTTCAAAAGACATCCTGGACTTCCTGGGGGATTCTTTGAAGACGTTTTGCTTCCTATCCAAGAAGATTCTTCAACTCTGGCTGGATGGTCGGGAATGGAAGGATTTATACTCTTTGCAGACAGCTGGTCATTTGCATTCTTTTTGTGAGTTGTTAAGGCCATCTGGAAGTTTATCTGTGTAGTCAGCGTCACCTGAGTGGTGTAAATAACAATAGCACTTAGACTTATATATCTTCACTGTGCTCCTCTCTAATCAGTTTTCAGAGTCCGCATATGGTCCCCAACAATCTGTGTCTTCATTTTACACACCTTGGAAGGATGGAAGTCAACCTTGAGCTACTCAGAATTGAACATGCTGATGAGCATGTTTTGTGGGATTATTTTTCCCATGTTTAATCCTTTGATCTACATCAGTGGTTCCTAATGTGGGGCCCATGCCCCACAGGGAGACAATATGATTTTTAATGGGAGTCATTTGAACCTTGTTTAAGCAAAGTTAATGGCCTTTTAGGCTTTCCCTGAGTTCACTTTTGGAGTAAATTAAGAATTATATGTCAAAGGGGGGCATCAGGATTTTAAAGATGGTTAAGTGGGGCATAGCCAAAAAAGGGGGTGACAACTACTGATCTACATTCTTTGGAACAAGAAGGTGAAAAGAGGCTAACTGTTCATCAGTTCCAAGAGAAGAGAATATACAATAGATAGTTTGGGGTACTTGTGCCTCTCTGACCTTGCTCGCAGAAGTTTTATTACCCAACTAGGTTATATCATAAGAGCTAGTGAATATGAGGTTTATTCCCTATTTTTACACAGTAGCTTCCCCTGCCAATGTTGGTGGAGATACAGTTTTCTCTATAATAGTTGCTTGATCAGGGTATTGTTTTTTTTTTTACTTGATTGTTTGTTTGGTGTTAATTCATGGTTGTCTGTTGTTGGAGAGGAAGAGGCCTAGTCTTAATACCAGGAATGTTATCTTTGTGAAGTCAATAAATAAGTGGCAAAGGAAATATGAGTTTAACATAAGGTGACCAGATGTCCCAATTTCGGCGGGACAGTCCCTCTTTTGAACAATTTGTCCCGCATCCTGGTTTTTTTTTAAAAGCCCCGATTTTTTTTAAGTTACGAAAAAGCCTCCAGCTGCCGAGGCTCTCCTAGCAACTGGGAGGGTATATTCTTCTTCGAGCCGAGCGCATTCCCACCCGCGCATCCCTGGGAGCTGTTTCCAATGGCTGAGGGAGGAGAAGACTTTACTCCATGTGGAGACCGTGGGCTTCCCTAACAGATTTTTTTCTTCTGTTGCTTTGAGCAGCCCCTCTCTCTCCCCCCCCCTCTCTCTTTCTCTCTCTCTCGGAGCTGGCGGGCTTCCTCTGAGGCTGTCCAAGCTCAGCCCCGCCCCCGCCCCAGTCTGCTGCTTCACCACAGTTGCTCAGGGCTTCTAAATTGGCATTGCGTGTTGTTTGAGGAGGGGATTACTGTGCCATAGAAACACAGCGTATGTCTCACGTGGCTGATAACCTGGTCTCTACAGAAGAGCTAATTTTTTTTTTTATTATTTTTTTTTCCCTTTAATTTAAAATTTTTATTCATTTTCATTTTCATTTTATACAATCACTTATATACTGT